GACTATACCTGAATTTGAATTCATACTTTAGACTTCTTAATTACATGGTCTCAGACAAGTTTCTTCAGATTCTTAAGCATTTGTTTTCTTCTTCACAGAATGGAGATTAAAAAGAAATTTTTGTAATAGAGTTTCACACCAAGAAAACTGGGTTGACTAAAAGAATATTGAATGTTTACAGAACTGCAGCATTTTGAGAATCACCACTGTTGAAGTGGTGTGGTGAGAGAAAAGTGCTGTCTGCCATGGGGCACTAGATGCTACAATGTTGTTGCTGCTTTCATGACCCAACCTGGATCTTGAAGCCTCTCTTTGTAGTGCTGACAGAATGATCTCTCCATCCCTCTTTTTTTCCTGGATCAGAGTCAAAGGTGTGGGCCAGGAATATCTTGTGGAGTTTGCAGCATATGTATGTATATCCTTGTTGTCAGACTGTAGAAGATGGAAAAGAAAATCATTCTCTTTTAGTTTCCATTAGGAGTGATCATCTTTGGCTCCTTGACAGTTCCCAGCCACCTAGGCGTTAGGCAATGCTCAGTGATAAGGAAGAAATCTGGTGCTGTGCGGCTAAAGTGCATGTCAGAATTCTTCACTATGTGTCCTACTATTGTGTTGACTAATCTCCTCAGCTGTCTCTTTATATGATAATCTATATAGTGCGTGGTTCAAAACCTGGGATGCAGAATAAAATAATAAACTTTGTTTTCTGGATAGAGAAATAATTTTGATGATAACATCATTTTAAAGTATTGGACTTTCTTCTGAACATGAAATAGATAAGAAATGAAGGATGCTCTGGTTTATCTTTATTTTGACATAGATTTGCTTTTGATGGTAAATTAAAAGGGTCAGCAGGTTAATGTGTACCTTTACATTTATAGGCCACATTGATGTTATTTGTTAGAATGTTTAATCCATGGTCATAGTTGTCAGCTTACTGTAAATTATTGACTGTTCTCAAATCTGTAGTACAATATTTCTGATGTAGGAAATTTACATGTTTTGTGGTACATTGGGTTAAGGCACTGCGTGGAACAAATGCATCTCATGTCCAAGTACCTGGTTGGAGTCTGGGCTGTTGTGTTTTCCATCCTGCTAATGCGTCTTGGGAGGCAGCAGAGGATATCCCAAGTACTTGAGCCTCTGCCACCCACATGGGAGACCAGGAGGCAGCCAGTGCTCCTGGCTTCAGCCTGGCCCAGCTCTGACTGTTGAGGCCATCTGGGGAGTAAACCAGCTGATGGAAGGCACACTGCTTACATTTTCCCTCCTTCCTGCACCCTCCCACCCCCATCTCTCTGCCTTTCAAATAAAAGAAGTTTTTAAAAATTCGTGTGAAATATAGACACTGTACGTCTTTGTAGTTACTTCCCTTGACTTGTAATTTATAATTTTCTACTTTTAATTCTTAGTTCATTTCCCTTAAACAAGAGCTTAATGTTGTAAGATTGGTTTTACTTTGTGTTATTACATTCTTCCTGATTTTATGTTCATTTCATACCTAAACTTTATATTAATTTATATAATTTATAGTTATATAATCCATTTTGAGTTTTAATCTCCTCCCTCATTACTTGCAGCACCATTTGCTGAAAAGACTGTCTTTCTCCACTGACTTGCCTTGATACTTTTGTGGCTCTATTTCTGTACTGTGTCTATGCTGTTGTATTGTGTACATGTCTGTCCTTTCCCCAGTACAGTGCTGTCTAGTCTATCCTTCCTTCATAGTAAGTCTGGAAATCAGGTAATGGAAGTCTTCCAGCTGTAACCTTTTTTTTAACCACATTGTTTAGGTTATTCTCATTCCTTTGCTTTTTTGTATAAATATACTATAAAACCATGGTGCAGGGTTATTGATTGAAGTGGAATATATTCCATAATTGGTTTGGGAAGAATTGACATCTTAAATAGTAATGATTTTTCTAGTCTATGATCAGTTTATTTGTGTTATTTCTTCTGTCAGTAGTACAGTTTTTAGCATACAGGTCTTGTATATATTTTGTAAAATTTATACCCAAGAGTTTCATAGTTTTTGGTGCTACTGTGAATGACACTTAAATTTTTCTAATTATTCATTCCAATGTATAGATGAATACTGGTTTGTGTCTATTTACCTTGTATTCTATGAATTAGCTAAGTCTACACTTTAAGTTCTTGGAAAAAAATCATTTTCAGTTCTTGGAAATTTTTTTTTTGCTGATTTTTGTTTTCAAAGATTTTTAAATAGTCATGTCTTAGAGACAGATTTATCTCTTCCACTCTACTTTTTATGCTTAGTACCTCTTTTTCTTGCCTTATTGTTCTGGATAGGAATTCAAGTCTAAAGTGCAATAGGAGAGGTAAGAGCAGACGTCTTTACCTTTCAGTTTTCTGCCATGATGTGTAATGTTAATTGTGGGTTTTCGTAATAGCTGCCTTAATTTTTTGTTTTTTAAGAAAAAAAAGTAAGATGTATTTTAAAATGATTGAAATAAGGATAAAATCATTGTGGTACTGTAAAACTGTGTCTGGCATGCAGCAGATGTGATAACGTTGGCCTTGCCTCTGAATGTCCAGACTTGTTTTGTGTTCTCCATGACACAGCTGGATACCTGTAGCACCTCAGCCGTTCTGTTAATAAAGTGTTTGAGGACCATTTGAGGAAAAGTTCTGGTTGTTGTCTTAAAACTTTACTTTGTTATCATCTGGTAAGGCCAAAGTAACAGCATCATTAAAACTTAAAAAATAGTGCTATCATTAGAAAGCACTTAGATGTGAATATGTGATATTCTATAAGATTACTAATCTTGTTTCTTCAGTAAATCTAGTGTATGTTTAAAAACAGGTGAAAAAGAGTCAGGCTATTCTAAATTAAAGGAGACAAGTTATATCTGGTAGATCTTGTTTAGATTCTTATTTGATGTGTACCAAAGTAGAAGCAAGATTTGCTATAAAATATATCAAGAAAAAATAAGGTGGCTGATGTAGATTACATAGTATTAATAATTTGGGTTATTATTAACTTCATGGGATGTACCATTCTACTTTGAAGTACATTAAAAGATTTTGACTATAGGATTAAAAAAAAAATGTGAATAGCTATTTTTAACTTTGCAAAAAAAAAATCTAGCTGGCATCTCATATGAGCACTGGTTTGATACCTATTTGCTCTGCTTCTGATCCAGCTCCCTACCAGTGGACCTGGGAAAGCAATGGAAGATGACCCAAGTCCTTGGGCCCCTGTACCCACATGAGAGAACCAAATGAAGCTCCTGGCTTCAGCCTGGCTCAGCCTCAGCTGTTGCATCCATTTTGGGGAGTCAACCAGCAGATGAAAGATTCTCTCTCTCTCTCTCTCTCTCTCTCTCTCTCATTCTCTCTCTCTCTACCTTTCAAATAAAAATTAATCTTTAAAAACAAAAAAAGTGGGACACTTGCACAAAAGCTGTATCACTAGCACTTGTGATATTGCAAAGGACTGCTGTTGTAGAAACCAGTGACAAAGTTGAGGAGTGGTTCAGATGAGTTGAATTTTGAACATTAATATATAGGTTCAGGAACTCTGAACTAATTTATTTTGTGCATGTTATATAGCAGTATATGAAAACCTGTCTCTATCTATAAAGGACCTCTTAAAAATTGGAAGTGATAAAAAGGATGTTTTAGTTTGTCACCTTCCATACCTCCTTCAGTGACTTATGAAAGAATGGTCAGTGAAACACATTAGGAAGCAGATTAATATGCAGTGCTGTTCTTTGTTGAGAACTTAGCTCTCGTTCATATTCAGGAAAAGCTGTACCCAAAAGAAATATGTGTGAGTGCAAGAATATATGATACTTGCAGAGGATTGTAGAAAACAAGAAATGTCAGTTTATTGTACTTTTTTTTTTTTATTCCTGGTAGTCATCAGTATAGTTTAGTATGTCAGGATTAGCCACATAGGCAGGACAATAGAAGTTATCTGCCATGCCAAGAAAAAAAATACTTATTCAGGTTCATAATTTTAAAGTAATCTGATAAAGGACATGAATTATAAGCACTCTCTCAGATGTTTTAGGAAGAAGTGTAGAAATACCTTTGAGGTACCTGTTGGTACTGTAAGAGTCCGCAGAATGCATGGTGGATTTCACTTGTGTTTTAAATCTCTGTTAAAGTTTTGTCTGCTGAGTGTTTTTGTCAAGATAATAAACAAAAGAAAAGGAAATTTTCTTTGGCAAATGTTGTTTTCATCCTTTCAGTTTTTTTTCTCTCTTGCATTGAATTATTATAATTTAAAAGGAAACTGTCTCCTCTAGAGCAGTTTATATCTGTTTATATATTTATGAGATGAAAGATTTTTAGGACTACATGGGGCATTGGTAGTCTGTTAGAATCTGTTGGTTTTAGAGAACTCATGGCTCAGTGTTGTACTTCATAGCCAAATATGTTATTTTTCAGAATATCAAACCTTATCCAAATTATCTGAATTCAGGAAATAAATTTGATGTTATACCAAGATTTAACTTTTCTGACAGTCTTCCTAAAGTCATATCTTTAAAAGCCTGTCTGAATATGACCCTCAAAACATTTAAAGAAAAGTAACTGATACCTTTTTATATTTTTCCTCTTGATTTTCCCTTTGAAAGTATAGATCATATCTTTGGTATTATTTTGTGATAGTCTTGCTTCCTTTCAGTAGAACTTTAATAAAATTAGTCTTGGTAGCACTATTAGGTAGATAAAATTGAGAATATCAAATGATTTTTAAACTTTGAAGGAACAGATTGAAAAAACTTATGGGAGGGGAATTGCATTGTACCTCATGTTTCACATAGTTTTTTAAAAAACATTTTCTTTTGTATGTAACTATTTGATAACTTCTGGCAAATACTTTGTTGCAGTGTGAGATTGAGATTATTTAGATAATTTAAATTAACATATTAACTTTTCTTTAGAAAAATGCTTTAAAAGTTTCTTTATTTTTATTTGGATGTCCTTTTTACTGGTTCTTTTTTTTTCTTTTTTCTTATTTTTTTTTTCAGTTGTGGAAGAAGGACTCTGGGAAAATGGCCTTTCCTATGAATGTAGGACGCTGCTCTTCAAAGCGATCCACAATCTGTTAGAAAGGTAAGAGAAGGAACACATGGCAGAGTCCACTGCTAGATATTTGGAAGGTCTCCACATGCACGGATTTATTGTTAGTATAAAAATTACGATACATAAATTGCTTGCTTTTTTCTGTTGATATAATTTCAAACTTAGAAGTTTCAGGAATAATACAGTGAACGCCCATCTGTCCCTGTCCCCCTTAATGTGGGTGTTTAAATTTATTCCCCAGACTATGTGCAGACTCAGGATCGATGCTCACTTCTACCCCTAAGTATGTAGGGTGCATTTTTAAGGACAAAGTTATCCTTTCATATAAACCACAGTACAATTATGACAATTAAGAAATTCAAATGCCATTGTATAGTCTATAGTTCAGTTCAAATATTGCCAGTTGTCCTAATTATACCTTTTATACCTTATCTCCTTTAGAGCTAAATATGATCACCCATTGTAGTTAATTTTCATGTTGCTTTAAATCCAGAACAGTTCTGTAGCCTCTTTAAAAAAAAAAAATTGAAACACAGAGGGAAACAAAGAGAAACCCAGACAGACAGATTTCTCCAATCATCAGGGTCACTCCCCAAATGCCAAAACAGCTAGAATTGGACTAGACCAAATCCAGGACCCGGGAGCTCAGTCTGGGTCTCTCCCATGTGGATGGTAGGGATACAACTACTTGAGCCATCACCTGCTATGTTGTAGGACGCTCATGATTCACAAGCGGGGATTTGGAACAGAATCAGAACTCAAACCCAGGGCACTCATATGCAGGCATCCTAACCACTGCACCAAAAACCAGCCCTTTTTTTCTTTTTTGATGTTGACATTTTTGATAAAGCCAGGCCATATGTTGGCCTTTTAATTCAAGCTAGTTTTCTAATGGTTAGATGCCGGTTATACTTTTTAGTAGGGATCCATAGCAGTTATGTCACATTCTGCTCAGTATATTATACCAGGAAGCATGTGATGTTGAGCCCAAATAATATTGGGGTTCACTTGCCCCCTGCACAGCAAGCCAAGCACTGACACTTGAGTGGAGGGGGAAAGTATTTATTTATTTTGTAGTGTACAGAGCAAGGAATCAGATGTTGCTGAATTCCTGGACTCTTTGAACAGTGTTGAGATTGAGCAATGCAGGATCCATTTGTGTATGAGTGTCTGGTTGGTCCAAGTGCTTAGCTGCCTTCCTTTGATTGCTCAGTAGTATGGGGCCATGTGTTATTTGAGAATGTTGTGATGGTGAGATGGACTCCAATCTGTTTGGAGTCTGCGGACATTATTTGTTCACGGTTCCTGTGAAGTGTCTCAAAATGAAGTATAGTATTAAGATATTAACTAAGGAGGGGATAATTGAATTCAGCCTTATATGATCTGTGTTCTTGTTGGGGCCAGCCTGACCCATGCGCCATTCCTTTAATTGTAGTGAGCTATTCTTTAGTAAGGAGAAGACTAACAATTAATTATCAAAGTGGAGACACAGGAATTGCAAGCTAAGTAGAGCGACTGGGCTTGATAAAGTCTGCATCAAAGGCATTTGGGGTGTAGAATAGGTGCTTGGTTTCAATGTTAGTGTCATTGTTAATGATAACATTTTTTGATCACTTGTTGGAGTGCTCTATCAGAGTTTTCACTGTAATTTAGCAAGTAATTTTTTTAAAGATTTATTTATTCAAAAGATGGAGTTACAGAGAGAGGTAGAGACAGAGAGATGATCTTCCATCAGCTAGTTCATTCCCCAGATGGCCACAACGGCCGGAGCTGAGCTGATCTGAAGCCAGGAGCCAGGAGCAGGAGCTTTTTCTGGGTCTCCCACATGGATGCAAGGGCCCAAGGAGTTGGGCCATCTTATACTGCTATCCCAGGCAATAGCAGAGAGCTGGATGGGAAGAGGAGCAGCCAGGACTAGAACCGGTGCCCATATGGGCTGCTGGCACTTGAGGCCAGTGCGTTAACCCACTGTGCTATAGCACTGGCCCCTTAGCAAGTAATTTTTAGCTATGAGCTTTATCAATTCTATTTTGGTAATTAATAAGTAATTTGTGTCTGAATATAATGAGATTGTGTAATTTCCTATTTTGCATCAAATTTTCACCGATATATGTAAGCTGCTTTAGGTTAGTCCTTGCCTAAATCAGATATTACTATCATGGCTGTAATGGTAATTTTCAAATGCCACCATTTCTTCTACTTAAAACTAAAACAAATTTGAGCGAGACAGAGAGAGATACCTACTGATTCACTGCCCAATGACAGCAACAGGTGGGCAGGGCCATGTTGAAGCCAGGAACTGGGAACCCAATCTGGGTCTCCCACTAAATGACCAGGACCCAGCTATCTGAGCCATTACCTATTGCCCCCCTGGTGGGTCTGGGCAGAGAGCTGGAGTAAAGGAGTGGAATCTCAGTTTAGGCCGGGCATTCTGATCCGTGATGCAGGTGTCCCAGGCAGTGTTTTAACTGTTGAAGCTAAACGCCTGCCTCTCCTTTGTTTGTTAGTTCATGTTCTGTTGTAAGGAAGAGCATTTCATTTCCCCTGTCTTCCCTCCACTTTTCTTTCTTTTTTTTTTTTTTCTTTCGCTAGCCTAGCTATCTAGCTGTCTTTTTCTAGATGTATCAATTTTGACTCATGGATTCCTGTTTCACCCAGTGGGTGATAATTTATTATTATTGTTATCTGTTTTGATGTCCAACTTCTTCCAGATTGGACCAGAGCAAACCGCTCATGATGGCTGCTGTGTCCTTAATGCTGTATTCCTTTTGGTGTTTGAGCACCTCATTACTGTCTGTCAAAATAGTCTGTTGCAGACTTGGAATAGGGATTTTAGGGTAGAAATAAATGATAAAGTCTACGTATTGTAATTTTGAGTCATCAAAACTTTAAGGACATTCTCATACCATTATATATCTTGTCAAGCCATTGGCAGGGGTGACAGCACTGCAGTATCACTGCTCAGGGTGCTTGAGTTATATAGTTGACAAGTCTGACTCATGCAGAGAGACTTTCTCATCACATTTCTGTACATCTCCTTCTGAACTTTAGTTGCGAATTCCGTGATCTGGAGTAGACCTGAAGGCTATGTGTTATTTAGGTAGAGTACCTATAGAAGCATTGTTTTGGTTGTAAGAGGTAGGCAGGCACTCTTCAGTATTCTGAGTAGCCGGTAATTCTCTCCTATGACAGAACAAAACAAAACAAAAGTACATACAAATTTCTTTCAGGAAAATGTGGAAAATTTACATTTTCATAATCCTATGGCAGAAATAAAGTTCTTATGTCTGCACAGTAATTAATGCACCTTTAGACATAGTTCTTTTTATATAAAAATTCTAATGGTATATGAGGCAAAGCATATATTTACAAAAATTGTAGCTCATTGTGTTATGATTTATTCCTTTGAGAATACTACTAATGATTTTGTAATAGAATATTTTTTCTTTTCAGTCTTGTATTTTAAATAGTAGAATGTTTCTTTCCTTTGGGAGAAAAGAATAGCAGAAAAACTGGAAGACAGATTTATATAATTCATTTCTTCTGAGCTCATGAATTCAGAATTTGTGATGAAAATTGAGGTTCAAGTTAAGTTGGAGTGTAAGAAAACTATCTCATGCAAAATAAAGTTTGGGATAGTTCTAAAGAGTGTTGATGAATTAGACCTTGGTTTTGATCTCTGGGTCTGCTACTTGGGTAGTTATTTCGACTTCATTAAACCTTAGCTTGCAGCCTATAAATTAAGTATAGCATAAACCTTGAGTTTTTGTTAAAGGACGTACATAATGTGTGCCACGTAATGCCTGATATACTGCTAATGACAATAACATGGACCCAGAATTGTGGTTATGGAGCATATCATTCCAGGACTGTATCACTTTCAGGGAACTTTTGTTTCCTAAATGGTTTTTCCTTAGTTTTTAAATTAATCAAACTTGTACAGTGGATTTATTATTTCACTTTTTTTTTTCATTTACTACCTTGAGAAACACATTTAAAGCTAAATAAGAGTCATATGAGTCAATCTTTCAATCTTTTCTGAAGGCTGTGTTTGCTAGTGTATGATGAATAATGTCTTCACAGAGATTACTATAAAAATTTCACTATCAAAATTAGCAAATTTCACAGTAAATTTCATTTCTCATGGCTGTTGATTGGTGCTGAGGTAGCATTATATTGGTATTCTGTGGAATATTTTGTGTTCTAGGGTAATATGTCTTAAAATATTTTTATCTTTCATTTCTGTTATAACTTAATTATTTATATATGTATGCTATATTATACATGCTTAACCAGGGTCATCTGTCCATTAAAAAATCCAAAAACAAAAAAAATTACTGGTTTGCTCAAGATAATTTTTCATAGAGAGATCAGATTGAAGCTAACATATTTGGCTTTAATTTTATATACCTTTCCAGAAGTCTTTGTCTTCATTGCTTCAGAGATGAGATGTTTTGGGTCTCAGCTCTGCTGAATAACCAGTTATGTGACGTGGACCAGTGACTTAAGCTTGCTGAGCCCATGTCCTTTCACCTAAAGCATGGTGAAGGGCTTTTTGGCCCGCATCATACCTTCTCATTACAGCAGCTCAATAAAACAGCTTAATTGCTCTTAGTAGCTAAGAGAAGAATTGATGTCACTATTTCCAGATTTGGACAGCATTAATTCTGGAATCCCATTCTATCATTTCCATTTTGTGTGTCATTCATCCTCTTTTTCAATGCTTCTGGCTATGTGAGCACAGCTTCCCAAAGGAGTTCTTTTTATCTTCAGAAGTATTCAGTGCTAGACAGTCTTTCTTAAACTGGGCAGAAATCTGTCATCTTGTAACTTTCACCTCTTCATCTTCATTCTTTGGGGTCATAGATAACTCATCTGATACTACTTCTGTGTAGCTGTCTGATTTCTTGGTCCAGCTAAATCTTTTCTTATTGTTTGTGTTGCTTATAATAGCGAATTCTCCACTTCTGCTTGTCAGCCTTCCAGATATCGCTTTTGTCAGTCCCATTCTCTTCATTTTGATTGTCACT